ACTTTTTTTTCAGTTGATACAAAAATCTGAATTTAAATGGAAAGTAAACATCACTTTCTTCTTAGTCCTAAGTAGCCTTAGTAGGATGCCGAGTTAAGGGGAAAACCACAGCCTACCAGTTGATGATAATGATGTATAAAATAATCATTTTTCTAATTAAATAAAACCTGTAAAGTTTTATCCCTGGAGGGAGAACCTCCAGATAAGGAGAAACAGCAGTTGAAGTAGCCAAGATCTTTCTTTGAAGTTTCATCTTCCCTTTATAGTTCTCAATCCAATTATTTGTTCACCATTCCATCAAAAAACATTTATTGAACCCTTTCTACATGCCCACCCATTGCTGTCAACTCGATTCCGACTCATGGCGACCCTACAGGACAGGGTAGAACTGTCTCATAGGGTTTCCAAGGCTGTAATCTTTATGGAAGCAGACTGCCACATCTCTCTCCCACGGAGTGGCTGGTGGGTTCGAACCACCGACCTTTTGGTTAGCAGCCAAGCGTTTAACCACTGTGCCATATGCCAGATGCAGGGATACAACAGTGAACTAGGTAGACAAGGCTCCAGCCCTCCTGTACCTCTTTATCTGAGAGCTGAATGAAGAACTTAAGCAATGGCAATGCAGTGATAATTGTTAGGGGAGAAGGGGAGGGTGCAAAGGAAGCACTTGGCAGGGCACCTAGCCCAGTATGCTATGCAGGAGAGTGGCTAGTGAAAGCTTTTTGTAACTGACATTTAAGGTGGACACGGAAGGACATGAAGGAGTAAGCCAGCATACGGCAGGGGTTAAGGTGTCGGAAGCTGTTTCAGGCAAAGAGAACTCCCTGTACAAAGGCCTGAAGGCCAGTGAGTTCCAGGCCGGTTTAGAAACTCAGAAGTTTGGCTTGGCTGCAGTGTAGAGGAGAGGAGCGGACAGAACCCAGGGGAGTGCAATGCACCTTTCAACTGCAGCCCAAGAACGGGCAAAAGTCCTTTTGGTGGGTTCCCTTTAGGGGAGGTGGCATGGGGAAGAATTTTAAAAAACTAACAAATCTTTAGGCCTCGCCTTTTGCATCCTGTCTGAGAACATACATTTATATTTCAGGTCTAGAAGGCTAGTACGGCTTGGCAAGGATTCCGTATGCAGTGGTTGGAGTTCTGAGGCCAGAAGACTTACCTTGAATTTCAACCTGAGAATAACAGTAATGCCAACCTCAGACTGTGTAAAGATTAAATGAAGTAACAAACATGAAGTAGCTTGCACACACTAGGTGCTCAGAAGAAAAAGTTCTCTTCCCTCCTGGTTACCTTGCTTCCGGGCCCCGACCTGCCTCCTGGCTGAAGGCACCATGTTATCACATACCACACGTGACATTGTAGCCTGGCAGGGGGAAATGCTTCTCTTGACCATCCCCTATGTCCTTGCCACTCAGTTCTACCCTTACCCTCTCGCTCAGTGAGAACTACCCTGGGCTAGACAAATCAGAAGGGCCTCAGCATAACAACCTGTTATACAGTAATAACTAGCTTTCATAAAACAAGAATGACACCCATATACAACTCAAGACTTGTTCCATCACACCATCTATACTTTATATTCGTATATGTCCTTGACCTCGATGATTCCTCTTGATGATACTGTAAGGGAAGTACTGTTATCTCTATTTGGCAGATAAGACCCCTAGGTTCAGAGAGGTTAAATGATTTACACTGACCTGAGCCTTGAATGCAGATCCTCAATTTCTAACCAGAATTTTGTCAACTACACAAAGGCTGCCTCCCAGCAAATATTGTAAATGGGCATATAAGGCTTTTTATGGCATACCTTTTAGCTTCCTTTAAACACCTTTAGAAGGAGACCTGGTGGTGCAATCGTTAAGAGCTCTGGTGCTAACTGAAAGGTTGACAGTTCAAACCCACCCAGCGGCTCCGCAGTAGAAAGACCTGGCAATCTGTTCCAGTAAAGATTATAGCCTAGGAAACCCTACGGGGCAGTTCTGCTCGGTCACATGAGGTTGCTATGGGTCAGAATCAACTCGATGACATCTGATAACAAACATTGTTAGAATTCAGAAAAACATGGCCTTTTTACATACATCAATTTGTAAATATTTGCACCATTCATCGATTTCTAACACTACTTCCTTTCACGAGTATTTTAAGTTTTCTATGTGCAAAACCGGAGCCCTGGTGGCACAGTGGCTAAGCGCTTGGCTGGTAACTGAAAGGCCGGTGGTTCAAACCCACCAGCCGTTCCACAGAGAAAGATACGGCAGTCTGCTTCTGTAAAGATTGCAGCTTTGGAAACCCTATGGGCAGCCTACTCTGTTCTATAGGGTCGCTATGAGTCGGAATCAACTCGAGGGCAAAGGGTTTTTTTTTTTTTGGTGGGTTTTTATGTGCAAAACTAAAGGGGGGCAGGTGGCAGGATTGTCTCAGAATACTATTTCTGCCAAAGAACTATTCTAATTGCTTCTGATTCCTGGGGACTTCGTGTGTGTCAGAGTAGGACTGCTCTTCACAGGGTGTTCAATGGCTGTAATCGTATGGAGGAGCCCCTGGATGGCTCAGCGGTTAAGTGCTCCACTACGACCAAAAGGCTATAGTTTGAAACCACCCAGAGACGCCTCAGAAGACAGACCTGGTGATCTGCTTCCCAAAGATCACAGCCTTGAAAACCCTATGGAGCAGTTCTACTCTGCACACATGGGTCACCACGAGTCGGAATCAACTTGAGGGCAACTAACAACAATCTCAGGGACGTAGACGGCCAGGCCTTCCTTCCGTGGCACTGTGGGTGGATTCAAACTGCCAACCTTTCGGCTAGGAGTTGAGTCATCCAGGGACCCTTTAGAGATTAAGTACCACTTTCAATTTGCATTCCTGCCCAACTGTGCTCATACTAATAAAAATAAATCTTCCCATTAGTAATACAAAACTGTCTCCTGGATGTGAAAATGAGAGTATAAATGAAAGGTTTTACTCCTGGTAGACTTCCCTGGCTAATTTCAAACAGGATTATTCTCTCAGGTAATCAGAATAAGGAGCCTTGAAGGTCACCTTGTCTAAACCCAGTCTCTGCCTAAGAAGCCCATCCCACTTCTAAACAGCTCAAGTTCCCAGAAGCTGGGTCCATAAATGGTCCTACTCTTGCCTTCCAAAGTTACCTGAATAAGTCTTTCCCACCTACCCTGCCTTTCAGTGTTTTTCAGAACGTGGTACACAGATTACCCGGATCAGAATCACTTGGGTATTTATTAATAGCAGATTTCGGGGTCTCAACATTTACCTGAATCCTACTTTTCAGCATCGCATTATCCAGTAGGTTCATCCTGTGTCAATTAAATGCTCCAGGGCTTTTTCACCAAAAAATGGTCTTGAGCTAATTCTCCTTCATCTTGTACTTATAAAGCAACTGAGTTTTAACTTAACTGGTTAATAAAAATGCTGAGTAAGACAGCAACTTGTGTTCATCACCTGAAATCCCTCCTCCAGGTTCTCTGTATCTTGAGCTTTACAATACTGCGTACAATTGTTCAGCCAGCCAACTAGGTTGTCAACCATTCTACATTTCCCTCTCTTGTCCAAGAGGATATGATTTGGAATTTTGTGGAAATTCTGAAATGATGGCATCTACAGAATTCCCCAACATACCAGGTACTGTAACCAAACAATGAACACACGAAGTTTGTTTGGTGCAATCTCTTAATTTCCCTTGATGCTTCAAATTGCCTATTTCATTCTAAAATTTTAAATACTCATGTCTTAATTGTTTTAAAGTACCTGGAGATATGAGTCTGGTGGTTTTTCAGTATTAGGGAAAAAAATAACTTTCACCATCCTAAAATGTTTAACTTAAATTAGGCTGTTTCGGGGTAGGGTGTGCTGATAATTACATATCACTTCCTGCTATGATAAAGTGATTGACATCTTTATTGGAGAATAAAGGGTGGGGCATTTCGTTAAACATATGCCAGTATCATTCCCTGTATAATTTAGAAGTCACAGGCAGAAAACACTTTTAAAAAACAGAAATCAAGGAATCCTCACCCAGGAACAAAATTCAGATCTGAGGGAAGCAATGAGGGTGAAGTATTGTTTGAAAAATCCCAAATCCTAGATCCTCCCGATAGAAACGTATCAGTCAGCCCAGCAATAATGTTGCTACTCCGTTTCTTAGCACGGTAGAAGAGGTAAGCTGGGCTTTCTTCTCTAGTTAGCTCAAGGGAAAGTGAAATACTGGCTCTCCAAGAGAGCTCCTCCAGTCCAGTGATATTTGCACATCTCACCTGGGCCTTTCAGTTACAAGGAAGGAGCCGTGTGAAAAAGGAAGAACAATCAATAAGAAAAAATCCTCCGGGCTATAAATCAGCCACGTGGAGCTGCTGCTGCTGCCGCAGCGGTGGCCCTGACTTCCTGGTTTGCTTCCAGCAAGCCTCACCGCGGGGGGCTCTGGGCAGTGGGTGTAAGGAAGGTCGGTGCGGCCACGAGCGGCTCCAAGTCCGCCGGAGGGCATAGGCGGTTAAGAACAGAGTTACGGTCCGTAATGACAATAAGTTTGGGAACCTGGTAGCTTTAGGGAGCTGAGCTTTGGGGCAAAGGCTAAGGACCAGACCTGGGGAACGTGTTAGTTATAAGGTGACAGTAAATACCACAAACTACGAGGGGGTTCGTGTGGACAGTGGTGAAACCAAGAGGGGGACTGCGGATCTGGAAGAGAGCAGACAGCAGAGAGAGGAAGCTTGCAAGAGCCAGGCGCCCGGGTCCGTCGGCGCTCTGCGGAGGCCGCGCAGGGGAGGGGGCCGCGCGGCGGAGCGCGGTCCCAGCCGGCGGGCCGCAGGGAGGGGGCGGAGGGAAGAGCCCGGGGGAAGGTAGAGCCGAGGGGAGTTCCGGATCTGAAGCTGGAAAGGGCAGGCGGCGGAGAGGGCGGCAGCCGAAGCGGTAGGGGTGGGGGAAGGAGGAGGAGGCGAGCCGGAGGAGGGGGAAGGAAGGAGGAGAGAGCGGCGGTGGCGGCTGCGCCGGGGTGTGTGTCTGTCGCCGCCTGAGGAAGATGAGGCTGAAGATTGGGTTCATCTTACGCAGTCTGCTGGTGGTGGCAAGCTTCCTGGGGCTAGTGGTCCTGTGGTCTTCCCTGTCCCCGCGGCCGGACGAGCCGAGCCCGCTGAGCAGGATGAGGGTGAGTGACCCGCCCGGCCCTCTCCGGCGCGGCGACCTGCAACTTGTTTTGTTTGCGCGCGCGAGTGGCGGGAGCCGGGGGCGGCGGGGTCGGGGCGCGGCGTTGGCGCCGCAG